TACAATTAATGTTTTGTTTTGTTTTTCTCTGCAAATGAAAATGAGAAGACAAGCCACAGACTGGGAGAAAATACTCGTAGAAAACACATTGAATAAAAGACTGTTACTTAAAATATATTTTTTTATTTATTTTTTTAACCAAGATGGCAGTGTAGGTAAATGTGATACTTGCTGCCTCCCACAGGCACATCAAAATTACAACTAAAATACAGAACAACCATCATTCAAAATTACCTGAAATCTGCCCTAACCAGTTTGACTCAGTGGATAGAGCGTCGGCCTGTGGACTGAGGGGTCCCAGGTTCAATTCCGGCCAAGGGCATGTACCTTGGTTGCGGGCACATCCCCAATAGAGGGTGTGCAGGAGGCAGCTGATCAATGTTTCTCTCTCATCCATGTTTCTAACTCTATCCCTCTCCCTTCCTCTCTGTAAAAAAAAAAAAAAAAAAAAAAAAAAAAAAAAAAAATTACCTGAAATCTGGTTGAATGTAAGTTCTACAACTAGAGAATTAAAGAAGAAAGCACACTGAGACTGGTAGGAGTGGCAGAGGCACAGAACGGGTTGGTCCGACAGCCATGTGTGGCATGTTTTTAATTAGAAGGAATATCACAGCTGTGGATGCCTCCTGTGAGGAGCAAGGGGTCCCAGCACCACACCATACCCCTCAACCTAGGTTTCCAATGCCAGAAAGAGAAGTCCCAGTAACTTCAGGCTATAAAACCTGAAGTGAGGATTGTATGGTCTGAAGCTGCCCACTGGGTGCACTGGCTATGGGGCCTCCCAGGAGGTGCAAAGTCAGCCACTGCCTGGGAGCACCCAGCACAAACTGCAGAGCAATCTCAAATGGCTGCTACTTGTGTTTGACTTGGAAGTGCCCAGGCAAAGCCAAGCTGTCTTGGGCCTATTATTGATAGACTAGAGACCTGGTGCATAAAAATTCGTGCACTTGGGGGGTGGGGGGTTGTCCCTCAGCCTGGCCTGCATCCTCTCACAGTTCAGGAGCCCTCAGGGGATGTCTGACTAACAGCTGCCTCCCTCTGCAGGAGGCGACCCGGTGGGCTGATCAGGGGACAGCGCCTGCCAAGCGAGCAGCCGGACCCGCCCCCTTGATTACCCCTCCGCTGTAGCTGGTTGCCACTGCCCCTAATCACTGTCCCCTCCCTCTGCCTGCTGGCACACACCTTGGCTGTCCTAGTGCTGCCTCCTCTCTGGCTCTGCCCCGCCGACCAGTCGTTCAGACATTTGGTCGACTTGCATATTAATACTTCTATTATATAGGATATGGGGCATGCTGATGCCAGCTGCTGCTTGTTTTGAGAGATTTTTGAAAAATCTGAAGCCTGAGCCAGGACAGGTCATTCATTTGGGAAAGTGTGGGTGGGGCTGCAAATTGGATGGGGTAGGGTCTTGGAATCACCATGATGGAGCATACAGCATGAGCCAGGTTTATGGAAACTCAGATATGGCTGCCAGTAAGCTCTGTGATGAGGGAGGTCTCAGCATAGGAACAATGGCCCCTATGAGCTCCCCTGTCTTGGAAAAAGCTGCCCCCCAGTTCTTGTTCCAATGCCAGACAATCCAGTTCCTTCCCATATGTCCCTGGACATACCCCTCTACCCCCGCCCCAAGCTGCTGCCCTAGTGCTGGACCTCAGAGTAAGGGAGGGAGTCTGAGTAAGCTTGTACACCGACCCTTCAAGACAGTGGTTCTCAACCTTGGCTGCACATTAGAATCACCTGGGAATCTTTTTAAAATCCTGATTTCTGGGCCTCATCCTCCGGAAATTCTGTTTCTTTGTTACTAATGTTGTGGCCTCACCCCATAACAAAGAAACAGAATTTCTGGAGGATGAGGCCCAGAAATCAGGATTTTAAAAAGATTCCCAGGTGATTCTAATGTGCAGCCAAGGTTGAGAACCACTGCTTTAAGAGGGACTACCTGGGTCTCCAGCAGCTTCCATGTCACTGAGCCACAATCTCCACTAGTTTTTATAGCCTGAAGTTATGGGCACTTCTCTTCCTTGCTCTGGAACCCTAAGCTGGGGGGTCTGGAGTGGGACTCATACCCCTTGCTCCTCATGGGAGGCCTCTGCAGCTGTGATATCCCTCCCAGTGAGAAGAAACAAACACCACACATCAGTGTCAGACCAGCCTGCTCACTCATCCGCCCCTCCTATCAGTCTCAGTGTGCTTTCTTCTTTACTTCTCTAGTTGGACTTCCATTCAGCCAGATTTCAGGTGGTTCTGAATGATGCTCATTCTGTATTTTAGTTGTAATTTTGATGTGGTTGTGAAAGGCAGCGAGTAATGGTATTTATCTACACCACCATCTTGGTTCTCCCAATTCCCTTAATATTAGTGTTCAAGTTTTTCATTGATGATTCTTTAGTCTACGATTTTGTATATTATGTTAGCTGTTATTTCTTTGACTCTTGCAGTGGTTCTCAACCTTCTGGCCCTTTAAATACAGTTCCTCATGTTGTGACCCAACCATAAAATTATTTTCATTGCTACTTCGTAACTGTAATGTTGCTACTGTTATGAATCATAATGTAAATATCTGATATGCAGGATGGTCTTAGGCAACCCCTGTGAAAGGGCCATTCGACCGCCAAAGGGGTCGCGACCCACAGGTTGAGAACCACTGGACTATTGTGTTTATTCTTTCCTTCTGGTATTTTGATTGGGTGAATATTGAACCTTCTCATTCTGTTTTTTAATGGCATTGAACCCCTCTCTTTTATTTATTTCCTATGCTCTATCATAGATAATTTCCACTGATCTGTTTTTTTTTCCACTTACTAATTGTCTCTCCCATTGTGTCTGTTGTGTTCTTAAACTTGTCTGTTTATGTGTTTTTTCATTGTTTCAGTTACTTTAGTTTAATTTTTGAAGTTCTCTTTAAAATCTTTTGGTTCTTTTTCCTTTTTATGATGTATTCTATTACTTATTTTATGTCTCAGTATTTAAACATAACTATTTTTTTTTATCCTTACCTGAGGACATATTCATTGATTTTTAGAGAAGGGGAGGGAGAGGGAGCTTGAGAGAGAGAAGTGGGGAGAGAGAGAGACATTAATGTGAGAGAGAAACATTGATGTCAGAGAGAAACATCGATTGCTTGCCATCCTGTATGCGCCCTAACTGGGATCAAACCCTCAACCTATGTAAGCACATAAAATAATTATATGCTTGGACCAGAAATTGAACCCACAGCCGTTCAGTCCATGGGACAACATGGGCCAGGGCAACACAAGTATTCTTAACTTTCTATTTGAAAACACTACAATCTGAAATCCTGGGGGATCTAATTTAGTTTGACTCTCACTAAGTTTGGGCTAATACTTAAAGTGTTTTTAAAATTTGAATTGTCAGCTGACTTTCAACACGCATTTATCTGAGGTTTAGTTCTTAGCCTGGATTAAGGGTAAAGTGAAGTTTTGTGTTTATTTCTGTCAAGTGCTCTAGATTATATATATGACCATCCTAGAACCAGATTTTATTTTGATGTTTTATCTTGAGATTAAGAATTCCCAAGGAACACTTTTAGTTGTTATTATTACCCTAAGCATAGCAGTGGTTGGTTGACAAGCTGATTTTGTCTAGTCTGACCTTATCACTTATGTCCTCAGTGGGAGGGCCTTAGTTCTAATTCTTGTGTTGCAGGCATCTCTATGGTCTCATCTTTTGTTTCTGAGTTAAAACACAAGACCCTAGACTACTGATGTTGCAGAATTTACCAGGCAACTGGGAAATACACAATGAGTGCTCGGAGATTCAGGAAAAACCCCTTTATTTAAAGCAGTGCTGCTGGCTCAGGGGATTCGAAGATCCAAAGCCTAAACAACTTATACAATGAGATTATTCCTTAAATATATTTCTAAATTCTTTGTTTCCTTACTTCCCGGCTTTTGCAGTCCTGCCTAGATTAGAATGGGGAAGTAAGATTAAGGCTAAAGGCCTGGCCTAGGTGGTGCTAGTCACCTCCCCTCTGCTAAGCTGTTAAATTCTTGGTTGTAGACCTTGTAAACTGAGAGTATTTAGGAAAACAGATTATCGCCTAAGGAAGGGGCAGTGACTTAATTATAGGCTAAGAAGAATGTGCACTAGACATTGGTCAATGGCACAGATTCAGATTGCTACCCCTCCCCCGCAGGTTGCCCCCTATATTCCTCCTCACTGGGACAGGCAAACCCCAATCATATCTAGCATAACATCAGTTCATAGTCTTATGGCTCTAATTTGGCTCCAGGGGGCTTCCCTTACAAATTCTTACAAGTTTAGCCACACATTTAAAAGGATGCTTCTTTATATTAGAAGACTTTCAGATTATCTAGTCTCCATAATGCCATAAATTATATATTCTGTTTACTTCTTTATTGACTGAATTCAATGAAGGCAAGACTGATGTCCACCAAGTTCACTATAGGTTCCTCAACATCTACTTCCTGATATATATTAGCCACTTAATAAATGCGGAATGAATGAAATGCTGTTCAATATAGATTTACTTATAATAGTGAAAAACTGAAATGAATCTAAATGCCTAGTAGTAGGAAAATACTGAAGTAAATGTTTATATTTACTTAAAAGTAAATGGCTATTGCTCATATAATAGTTTTTAGGCAGAAAATGATGATTTGGAGGACTGTGTTATAGATTGAAAGTTATTAAAGATTACATGTAAGTGAAAAAATCAGATTAAATTTTTTGAATTTATAGTATGATAACTTTAAAATATTATAACACTGGATATGAAAAATATGGAAAAACGCTGAATAATGAACACCAAAATGCTAATCGTAGCTTATGTTGGAGTGGTGGATTGAGGGTCCCTTTTTACCCTTTATTCTTTAAACTTCCTATAATGTGGCTTTAGGAAGATACTAAAAAGAAAAAGTTTATTAGTGTTCTTAAAAATTTTTAGATTTAAATACACTAAGAGATTGATTAAAACATAAAAATTTCAGAATTAGTTTTTATTATTAAAATGTTTACAGAGTTTTATATGAAAATACAGAAAAAGACCTTACTGATACTCAGCGACACCTTGCTAAGAAAAAATATGAGCTTCAGCTTACTCAGGAGAAAATTATGTGCTTGGATGAAAAAATTGGTGAGTTTTTCCCCCTAATATTAAATTTTCATTAGGTCTGGTAGAAAAAAGTTTTCTTCTTTCAGTTATAATATAGATAAACTTGGAGATAGGCCCCTAAATTAAAAATATATGAATAAATCATGAAAAAATATGTTTTTCATTGATAGTAAACTTTTTATTTATATTTAGGACCATAAATACTTAGACATGACTTCAAATTTTTCAGTGAAGAAAAAGCTAAACAAAGCAGCAATACTTCATAATTTCTTATGGTCACTTTTAAAATTACAAGTTTTTATGTGATATTAAGCTACTGTAATGAAACAGAGTTCACATATATATTACTTTTGTTAGAAACTGTTCATGTATTTGGCTATATCTATGATATTTCTTGGATTTATAGAGAAAATTATTGTTATAAATTCTCCTATTTATGTTACTTGCCAGTGATCTCTATGAAAATATGGTCATAATTTACTCATTTTTAAAACTGTAAAGTAAAATTTTGATTAGGACTAGAGCAGAGCCCATTTTAAAATGGAATATTGTTAACATTAGCTGTAATGTAGTTCAAATCAGGCATAAACAATTAGGTGAGTGGAGGTGCTTTTTATTGAGATTGGAAATATTAAAAGATAAATATTAAAGGGGATATTAAAGAACTCATTTTGAATATTGTAAGTCCAAGTAAAAATGTAAGGTAAGCAGTTAAATAGATAAGTTTTTATCTCCGAAGTAAAACCTAAGCTAAAGATTTACATTTGGAACACATCAGCAAATAAATGATATTAAAACCAAGAATGAGGAGAAAAGGATCCAGGACTAAGAAGCCAAAGAATTAGGAAGAAAATCCATAAGTGAGTGTTTTTTGTTTTGTTTAGTTTTTGAGGAGGCAAGCAAGCAAAATGTTTTAAGGAGGGTAGTATCAACTATCAGATACTAAGATGGGGATGAAGAAATGTTGATTGGATTTGGTACTTTGAAGGTGTTGGGAACACTGATGAAGTTTGGATAGAGTGTTGGATGTGGAAGATGGGATAGGCGGAGGAATAACTGTAAAATTATCTGAATATGCAATCATAAAGCATTTTTAATCAAGATAATTTTTTCCAGTTCAAGTGCATTGAAATACTTTTCAAAGTAATTTTTCCTATATTACATTCAATGCCTAAAAATAAGTATAGTATCCCAAATAAAAACATGGCTTTTGTTGTGATTAAAACCTAAGATAAATCTTGAAATTCTAAATGACTCACAAATGTAAAAGCACAATTAACACATTTGAATAAGAATACCAAAGGAAAGCTCTAAATTACAAGTTCTCAAAGTAGATTTACATGCCTGGTGGGGTGGGGGTCAGACTGTAGGTGGGAGTAGAGACAGGAGAGAATAGAAGTCTGTTAAGAAGTTTGGCTACCAAGTGTAGCAGAAAAATGGGGCGGTAGCTTGAGTGGGATGTGAGGTGGAGGATTATTTTTAAAGTAGGAACTCCTAGAGCTGTCTCAGAGCTTTCATTTCGTTATTGTATGCCAATGGGAATGGACTCATCTATCAGAACACCCAAAACATGTGTTTGCCTGAAAGATAGTAGCCTGGAAAAGGGAATTGATCTATTCTCAGGTACTTTAGATCATCCTCTTGGCATGGGATAGTGCCTCTCTTATGCTGCCCTGGATGGTCGTTGGCAGGGAGTAACCTAGAGGTCCAGTCTAGCAGAGCTTCCCTAGTAGAGCTCTAGACCAGAGGTTCTCAGACTTGGGTGTGCTCAGAATCCCCTGGAGGGCTAGCGCAGACCACTGGGCCCCCTGGAGTAGCAGATGGCCAGGGCTCTTGTGTCTTTTCCAGTTTGCTCAGGTGGGTCTCAAGCTGTTGTGCATTAGAGTCACATGGGAGGGTGCTTGTTAAGACATAATTGCTCTGCCCAGTCAGAATTTCTAATTCAGTAGGACTGGGGTTCCCAGGTGATGCTGATGGTGCTGGGTGGGAAACCACAGTTTGAGAACCAATTGCATAGCAGTCATTTAGGCCTTCAGCATTGACATTGGCTTGTCAGTGTTTCCACAATCAAATCAGACGTCCTGGGATGATTTTTTTTCCAGGAATTTTTAGGAAAAATTTAGAGAGCTCAGAGTAGAAGACATTTGACTCTGAACATGACTTAATTGAATATTTTATTAAGATCTGTTACCAACTCGCCAAAACCGGTTTGGCTCAGTGGATAGAGCGTCAGCCTGCGGACTGAAGGGTCCCAGGTTCGATTCCGGTCAAGGGCATGTACCTGGGTTGCGGGCACATCCCCTGTAGGAGATGTGCAGGAGGCAGCTGATCGATGTTTCTCTCTCATCGATGTTTCTAACTATCTCTCTCCCTTCCTCTCTGTAAAAAATCAATAAAATATATTTAAAAAAAAAAAGATCTGTTACCAACTTATATACAACAATGATTCTAGTTCAGAGAGAGGGGGGAAATTGGGGGGGAGGGGTATGCTGGTTTCAGTATTCCACCCAACTTCATCCACCTACAATCTGCCCCCCACCCCACCAGGCATGTAAATCTACTTTGAGAACTTGTAATTTAGAGCTTTCCTTTGGTATTCTTATTCAAATGTGTTAATTGTGCTTTTACATTTGTGAGTCATTTAGAATTTCAAGATTTATCTTAGGTTTTAATCACAACAAAAGCCATGTTTTTATTTGGGATACTATACTTATTTTTAGGCATTGAATGTAATATAGGAAAAATTACTTTGAAAAGTATTTCAATGCACTTGAACTGAAAAAAATTATCTTGATTAAAAATGCCTTTATGATTACATATTTAGATAATTTTACAAGGCAGAGTATTGCCCAGCGAGAAGAAATCAGCATTCTTGGCGCAACCCTCAACGACCTGGCTAAAGAAAAGGAGTGCCTGCAAGCATGCCTGGATAAAAAGTCTGAGAACATTGCATCCCTGGGAGAGAGTTTGGCCATGAAAGTATGTTCTGAGAACTGTGGTTTAAAAGACGTGTTTGCACTGGAATCTGAATAAAATAATAGGTTCTCTCAAAATTTTTCTAGAGAGCTGAAACTTTAAAATGTGATTTCGAAATATTTTAGAATAGTCTTAAAAATGTGTTCTTTCTCTCATCAATGTGTGGTTAACATGCGCTGACAAGAACTAATTCAAATATCAAATATTCAAATTAAAAAGAAAGCAGTGAGATTGATTTCTTTTTAAAAGCACACCAAAACTTATATTTCCAGGGAGCCACTGTGGGAGGCAATATGTTTATTCCATTAAAACTGCCTTTGTAAATGTGTTCAGAGCTAGATGCAGGTTTTTACATCATGCTTAGCCATTGAGACTAGACCATATGGAGTTGGTAAATAAAACTGGGTGATAATCTCCCTCCCTCATTTTTTACTGTTCAAACAACAACTTAAAAGCTGTTGCCAAAATGGCAGGGAAATATTCATACCCTTTTCTTGCTTATAAAGTGGTTCTGAAGGCAATTCCAAATTTTTTTTCCACAGATGTCATAAGCAAAGCAGCATCATTGGAATAAGACCTTGCCCCTCTCTAAGGGAACTAATTCGTTCATCTATCCACCCATAAAACAAACATTTATTGACATGTACCAGGTATATTATGTTAGAAATTGAGGAGGAGTGGACATGCCTTCCAAAGCCTGTAGCATAATTGGGAAAAACATAAAAAAGGTACTTTTATGATAGAATGTGCTGAGTGTATACACAATGTGTGGTTCAAGTCTGGCAGAAGGACAGTTGATTTAACCTGCGGATTGGATTAGGAGAGGAGAAGATCTAGAAAGCTTTCGAGAAGATGATAATGCCTGGACTGCCCTGAAAATTGACAAGGAATTAGCCAGGAAAAGACTTAGAGAAAGGCTACAGTGAGAGGAAAGGTGTTCAGACAGGCAGAATACCTTTTAGAGAAAGGGGATCCAGACAGGTAGAGCAACTTATGAGAGCCCAGTGGCTTTCATCAGAGAATGTCACAGGGTTTCTCAATAGTTTATAATGTCCAGAGCATAGATTGCAAAGAGGTAAGTATGGGGTAGGAGTAGGTGGCAAAAAATGAGATGGGATAGGTAAGCAACAAATTTAAATATGTAATGCTGAGTATAGAATATCATCATTGGTACAGTGAATCAATGAAAGAATGTAAACAAAGCATTACAATTAAATTCTTATTTTAAAAGAAACATTCTGGAGAGGGATACATGAATAAAGGGAGATGACACATGCACATGTACATGCACACACGACTAAACCGTCCTGATGAACAGAAATAGAACTGGTTGGAAATATAGGTTTAGGTTTTCATCTTGTTGCCTTTGTTAATTAAGATTTCAAACTTCAAAGAGCAAAGTGAAATCTAGTTATTTAGTGAAAGAACAAGGCTAATGTTAGCCAAAGTATCTGTGAATAGAATCTTTAACTAGTTCACCATCAACAAGAACTTTCAAAGGAGGAAGTGTGGGAATAGTATTGATGGCGTGAAGATAAGCACACCTATTTCAGCCTTGAATGACTCATTAATCTCCCTCACCACACCCTTGAAAAGGGAGAATATCAATAGTTTATTTTATTCATTTTTTGCTCTAGGTCTAATATTTACCTCCTTATTTAACTGACACCTAAATAAATATATACTTTTATAAGTAACTCATTTTAGCAGCTTTGGAAGATGCTATTGATGACTAATATAAATAATACATGTAATTAAAGTTATTTTTTAATATTTTTATTGATTTCAGAAGGGAAGGGAGAGGGAGAGAGAGATAGAAATATCAATGATGAGAGAGAATAATTGATCGGCTGCCTCCTGCACTCCCCCCATTGGGGATAGAGCCCACAACCTGGGCAGGTGCCCTTGACCTGAATGGAACCCAGGACCCTTCAGTCTGCAGGCCAACGCTCTATCCACTGAGCCAAATCAGCTAGAGCTAAAGTTATTTTTAATATTCACTTTCCTGGGTTTCATAACGTGAAGAGAGGTGAATCAGACTACTCCCCATGGAGAACACCCTAATGCAAACCACTGGTTTGCCTCCAGGTAACAGTGCTCTGGAGGCTCTGGTGTTGCTGGGGGATTGCACAAAGCCTAACAGAGCATTTGACACACTGATCTCATATCCATACACCCAAGTGTAGTCTTCACTCTAATGAGCATAATCAATTGTTTTTGTCCAGTACAAATATTGACATTGATATACTAGGCTTTAGTTTTAAAGTGTAGGAAAGATGAATAGAGCATAAATGTTTAAACCCAAATGTAACTGGAAAGGGGTGGGGAAATTGATTTTTGTTCATTCAGTTTTAACAGAAATAACAGTTTAAGATAATTTTTATGTCATACTTATATTACTTTTCAAGGAAAAGACCATTTCAGGCATGAAGAATATCATTGCTGAGATGGAACAGGCATCAAGGTAAACCACTCGTCCAACAAGAATTTGAGTACATATTTATTAGGGGCAAAGTACTATGTTAGGTACAAAGATAGTAAACAGGGGCTTAGTGTTACAGAGAGGGGGTAACTTTCTAATGTTGGAAGGAGGCCTAAGTCTGTGTAGGGAAGTAAGAGAGGATATGGCATCTGCCAAGGAAAGGGAAGGAAAAACAGCAGAGAACCACAAGACCACAGGTAATGTTCAAGAGCCTCGTGAATGCAAGTAGGTGAGTGTTGGAACCCAAAGTGAGAGAGGAGGTGTGAAGGGAGGAAAGGCTAAACACAGAGGCCTGTGTTATAGACAAATGAGTCTTGGTTTTATCCTTTGGGAAATAAGAAATCATTAAGGAATTTTGAGGAGAATTTTGTGTTAGAAAGATTACCCACATTGAAGAATGATGATAGATTGGGGTTGGGGAGTGTGGTCAGGGGTGAGGTGCTTATGAGGAAGAAAATCTAGGAAAATGCCAGGTTTTGAGAGATGAGTACTGGACGTGTAGAAAATATGGAAAGCGATGGTTTTCCTCTGGATGGGAAGAGCCTTTGAGACCTTGCATATATGTCTCATAAGCAGTTAAATATAAGAGTCTGGAGTGTAAGGAGGAGGCCAAGGCTAGAGGTAATGATTTCAGAGTCTTCAGGGTATAGATGGGGTTGGGAGCCATGGATATGAATGGTATTTGTCTGAGGGAAGGCAGAGAGTAAGAAGAAACAGGAGAGCAAGAGTTGAGCCCTCAGAACCCTTAGGTTTTAAGAGGGCAGAGGAAAAGGAACCTGCAAAGGAGACTAAGCCATATTTGAATGGCAGAAGTTTTGAAGTACTTAGCTAATCATTGACTATTTTGTACATTCAGCATCTTTTTTCCATAGTGAAATGTTCGCAACAAAGAGAAACTCGAATGCACTATTTTACAATATTTATTCATATAAATTTAAATGTGTTTAAAACTTCTTCAAATGTTTTTATGCTAACTGTCCATATTCCATCATGTGAGAATTTGTTATTCTGTTTCGGTAAAATGTCTCTTCTGACGTTCTATTTGATTTGTGCAATAGACAGTCTACTGAAGCGCTAATTATGTGTGAACAAGACATTTCCAGGATGCGCCGGCAGTTGGATGAAACAACTGATGAACTGGCTCAAATCGCCAGGGAAAGAGATATCTTGGCTCATGAGAATGACAATCTCCAAGAACAGTTTTCTAAAGCTAAACAAGAGAACCAGGTATATTTGTCCTACTCTCTTTTTCTCCAAGAAAATATGTATTTCCTCTGAGGCGGTGTTCTCTTTTCATTTTGTAGAAAAGCTCAGGCTCTTGAAGCAACTATTTTTTACCTCTGTTACACAATATGCCACATAATTTCTAAATGAAACTCTCAGACAAAAAATGTTAAATATTACGGAAAGAGGGAACAGGGAATATAATCTATAATAATAAAAGGGCAATATGCTAATTAGACCAGACGTCTTTGGACGTCATTCCGGATGTTTTTCCTGACAAAGCCGGGGCCAGAGGGAAGCCACCCTGGGTCTCGGGTGCCTGCCGGTGGCCAGAGGTGGAAAGCAGCCTGGGTCCCAGATACTGGAGGGAAGCTGGTGCTGGCAGCCTGGGTCCCGGGTGCCGGACGGAAGCTGGTGTCAGCAGCCAGGGGAAGGAAGGTCTACTCGCACGAATTTTCGTGCATTGGGCCCCTAGTAGATGTATATTCAACTTTAGAAGTACTCAACTAATGAAGATAAAAAGCTTCAGAAACTTTTAAGAAAATGGTAGATTTACTTCAGGGACTATTATCCTAAGTATGAGTGTATGAACTATGCCACATTTTTTGGTTCTCTTTAGTACTAATTCTTTTCAGGAAAATTTCTTTTATAATTACTTCCTCTCTATGCCAATATACTTTATCCACATTTCTCATTTCCAATACCATTATTTTAATTTGACCATTAAAAACATTCTATTTGGAAGATTTCCTCCCCCCTGAAAATTCTTCAGTCCAAATGATATCCCCCATGTACTGTCACTCTCAATGTTTACTTGTATCATAAAAGTCTGTATTTTGACTGTTAAACATTTTAAATTTATATAAATAGGTATAAAGATACATTTTGTTAATTACAAAAATTGCCTGATATGTTAAAATACTGTTTTCAAAAGTTAATGAATAATGAAATCCTGGAACAAAAAAGGGACGGCACATAAAAATGAAAGAAGTCTGAGCCCTGGCTGGGTAGTTCAGTTGGTTAGAGTGTCATCCAGATAATCAAGGTTGCAGGTTTGTTCTCTGGTAGGGCACATACAAGAATCAACCAATGAATGCTAAAATAAGTGAAACAACAAATTGATATTCCCCACCCCCGCCTCTCCCTTTTCTCTCTCTCTCTAAAAAAAAGCAGTAAATAAAGAAGTGCAAGAAATCTGAATAAAATACGTACTTCAGTTAATTATTTGTTGATATTGGTTCATTAATTGTATGTGATAAGTGTACCATACTTATGTATGATGTTAATGAAAGAGGAAACTGAATATAGGGTATATGTGCACTCTCTTTACTATTTTCACAACTTTTCTATATATTTAAAACTATTCCAGAATAAACTTTATTTTTAAAAGTTAATGAATAACAATGAAAACTAATACAGTGGGGCCTTGACTTACGAGTTTAATTCGTTCAGAGACCGAGCTTGTTAAGGAGCTCGTTAACTCAAATTACTCTATCAACTCAATGCAAAAAATCGGCCGAGAGACAGCTGGTATCTCAAAAAACTCGTTAGTCGGGACACTCGTAAGTCAAGGCCCCACTGTATGTGAATTTATAATTTTGTGTACTCTAAAGCTAGAGAAAATAGGCTAAAGGAAAATATGACCTATATTTATGAAAAACTAGGTTAAAAACTCATTTTGTACTGATTTTCAGTGTATTTTTAAAATATGTATTATTTTACATGAACTTTTTATGTGTAGGAATAAAACCACATGCCCCTTTACACCATGGTTTTTCTACATGAGGGGGCAGTAGAGTGGAGTGTTTAGGACTCACATGAGTTTGAATCCCCATGCCTGGCTGTGTGATAATATCACTTAACTTTTCTGAATCTCAGTTCATCATCTGTAAACACAGAGAGTGAGAATATGCCTAGAAAGCACTTATCCGAGTGTCCAGCATAATCACTTAATAAATATTTTGTAGGGACATTATAAGCATTTACCTGCTTTGTTAAAATTTTATAAACATTTTTTATAATCAGAAGAAAATTGGCATCACAACAATTTCCATATGTTCAAGATAGTTTTTTCCTTCGTTTGGGTCATGGGCCCAAGGGTAAAAGATGGATTCCTCTGTGGACCACAGATTAAGAACCCTTATCACAGAAGATGTGGAAAACAGAAACCTTAAAAAAATTTCACCCTGAGTACCACAATTTTTAACAAATTGGGATGAGGTATTTTTAGTATTTCATTCTGATTTTTTTCACTAACTATTGGTGACATTTTCCTCTGTTATTAAAAGTTACTTCAAGCATTTCTTATGGAGGCATAATATCTATGTGATATCTAGATACTATTATTTGCTGCATTATTCACTTAATGTGAATAAAATATTGTTGCTATAACGAATAATGCCTTAATGAACATTCCTTTCATTACATTTTGCTAGATTTAATTTCATATTGAATCACAGATTATGAAGTTTTTTAAAATTAGGTGGACATTTTCAAATAATGAATACATACATATACATCTCCCATCTTCAACAAAAAACAACATATTTGATACATCACCAGATAGCAGACCACCGATTTGCTTATTGCAAATTTACATTTACTCCAATGATACGTGGAAATGCCCATTCTTTGCCATAACAGAATAGCTTCAAATCCATGCTAATTTATAGGCAAATAATATTTTATTGTATTAATTAGCATTTATTTGATTACTAGTAAATTTTTAACTTTTTAAAGTATTATCATCCACTTGTGCTTCCTTTTTATGAATTATCTGTTTGGGTTCTTTGCCTGTTTACAGTTTGGACTCACATTTTCTCCCTGTTTTTATATGAGCTTTATATATTAGGCATATTAACTGTAATAATTATTTTAAAACTTATGGTGATTTAGAAATATAGCATTTTTCATTTTTTATTTTTTTAGTCAAATTTAGCTATCTTTTTCTCATAGGCCCTGTCTAAACAATTGAAAGATACTCATAATGAACTTAATGATATAAAACAGAAGGTCCAAGATACTAATTTGGAGGTTAACAAGCTGAAGAATATATTAAAGTCTGAAGTACGTATATACATTTTTCCCTCCTTTCTCATGATAACTGAGTTTTCAATAAAGTTCCTGATCAGTTACACTCATGGGGAGAGCTGAATCAAGTCTTCTTTTAATGCATAGCATATTTTAGTGTACTCATTGTTGGGTTAACTATATATTTAGAACATCACCAATGTTCAGAAAGGTAACTCAAGAATGTGCCCCCTTTTAGCTTGCTACTCAGCCATTCTAGATATGTAGAATCCTCCTAACTGGGTAAAGGACAGGGGCCCAGCTTCAACTTTCATTCATATTTGAAAATGGTAGAGCTGCTAAGTACAAACTTGGACAAAAGAAGCTCCACGTTGTGTAGCAGATCAGAATTGATCACGCTATTGTGAGGCTATCTGTTTCTTAGGATCAGAAGGCAGATGGCTCTCCTCAGCACTGCTCTGTCAGTAACCATTTAACCAGGTGCATGGATGGTTAAAGTAAATTTCAGTGCATGTGTGACAATCCTGGAATAAACAGAGGCCTTGATGAATGATGTTAGATATGTTCATTTAGTAAAATGCTATCTAAAATAGTGTAGTTTGTTTGGTTAAAAAGTATGGTTAGATTATAATAGGTGTAGTGTTTGTTACCTAATACCACTGAAACCATTAATAGGAATCACCCTTCCCCAAAACAACTGTTTTCCTTATTTTATTTAACATATTATTTCATATCAGTCTACAAACATATGTAGCGCATTTGTGGTGCTCATTAGATTGTTTAGGACGTTGATAGATAGTGTAAGGACTCCTAAATTGCAATCCTTGCTTTCAGGCAATAAAGCAGTGAGCTTACGTTGACAAAGCAGGCATTTCCCACACTTCTTGATTTTAAGATGCCAGCATGTAATATCATGAATGGACAGAAGTTCTGGAATCAGATAGGTCTGACTCCTCTTCTCCTTAATGGCATGGACTTAGGTAGGATACTCAACCTCTCTGAGCCTCAGTGTCCCCTCTGTAATTGGGAAGAACACCCAAGTCAGTCAGCAGATCTAGCACAATGATCCATTTAAGTCTATTCTGGAATAGGGCAGAATATAAATAAATGAACATCTTAGCAACATTGAACATAGTTAACGCTGAATTAGTGTAAGACAGTTCCCCTTTTCTCCCTACCCTGTCAGGTTACCTGAAATGTCACCATTAAGGATTGGGGCTTTTAGATTCTGGAGTTGTGTTTTCAGACATCACACATCAAGTTTCTCTTAGCTTTTAGCATGTGAGTATGAGTTCTTTCCCTGGGTTTCATTTCACAGCACCATTGGATGAATTCAGGCAACTCTTGCCCTAGACCAGTGGTCAGCAAACTGCGGCTCGGCAAACCGCGACTCGCAAGCCACATGCAGCTCTTTGGCCCCTTCAGTGTGGCTCTTCCACAAAATACCGGCTCTTCCACAAAATACCGACTTCTGCGCATGGGCCACGAAGTTTCAATCACACTGTACGTGCGCGCCCACACATGGTATTTTGTGGAAGAGCCACAGTGAAGGGGCCAAAGAGCCACATGTGGCTCTCGAGCCGTGGTTTGCCGACCACAGCCCTAGACAGCACAAAGCACGACTGATAGCCTAGTAAGAATTGTCAGGTGCATTCTTCATTCACTCATTTATTCAGCATGCAGTGTGCTAGGTGCAGAGGTGCCAGAGATGAAAACTGAAAGGAAACAGAATGGCACCCCAGGCAGTGGGGACAACATCAGCAAAGGTGTTTGGGGAAATAGTAGGTCCTGTAGCTACTAGAGTGGCATGTATAGGTGGGTGATAACAGAGAAGTAAGAAGGACTTGTTTGAACGCCATTTTCAGGAAGCTTTTGTTTAAACAGAAGTTATTTGAAGAATTACCTTTTAGAAAGATTATTCTGGAGATGTTGGGAAGAATAAATCAGAAGGGTAAGAAAATCAGAAGGAGAGAAAGAAATTAGGGGAGGCTTTACCCATAATTCTGCTACCTAAGATTTGCTTTTCAGGAATCTGAGAACCAACAAATGATGGACCAACTCCGAAAAGCCAATGAAGATGCTGAAAACTGGGAAAATAAGGCACGGCAAGCAGAGGCAGATAACAATACCCTCAAATTAGAACTTATCACTGCTGAGGCAGAGGGTAACAGATTAAAAGAAAAGGTAGATGCCCTCAGTAGAGAGGTCGAGCAGGTGAGTTTGGGAAAGTGTGCTTGTAGTGAGTCCTCCATCATGTTGAAGACTGTAGTTTGGCTTTCCATAAATGAAATATATAAGCAAACACTTAAATTATTTAAATACTAGAGGCCTGGTACACAGATTGGTGCACATTGAAAGGAAATTAATTTGAAGGTGGCCAAAGGGACGGGAATGAGCGAGAGGGGCCGGACACGCCCTGGAGCCAACCTCCTGTGGTTCCTCCCTGGCTGGCCCACACCTGGGGCTTGAAGGACTTCTGATAAGTGAGCAGGGTCCCTGGCAGATGGGGTCCCTCAGCCTGGCCAGCAGGGATGAGGCCGAAACTAGCTGTCCGACATCCCCCAAGGGGTCCCGGAGTGCAAGAGGGCACTCTGCAAAGTTGCTGTCACTTGGCAGGTCCTGCATTGAGTGTCTGCCCCCTGGTGATCAGCACATCTCATAGCTACCGGCCAGTTGTCAGCCCATCGGCCAGTCAGTCAGTCGTTTAGCCTTTTATACGAGATACTGTGAGTTGTAGCCTGATAACTATTCTTGTACTCACTCTGGTTCTCCTCTAATCTATTACCTGCCCTACCAGTAGAACAATCTTTAGCATTTTTTAAAAAAATTAGGAGCTATCACAAACATACAAAGAAGTGCAAAAAACAAGTATTTAAAAGACATGCTTACTAGTATACCCCTCCTAACAGGTTTAAGGATGCTAACATTTTGCCATAATTACTTCAAGTCTCTCTTTTTTTAAAGAAACAAAACATTAAGTATCCAACTCCTTTTCCTTTCCCCTTTTCCTCTCTAGTGGTTGGCGTGTATAAGATTCCCGGTTGTATAGCTCTCTTGCATATGTTTATATTTTTCTGCATATCTCTCACCCTCAGGTGATACATAAAGTTGTTTTGTGTGCTATAAGTTTTTAAAAAGTGACGATATATTACATATTATAGGTATCCATTGGCAACTTGCATTTTTTGTTCAATATTATTTTTAAATTTATTAATTTTTATACAGTGTATATCTAAACAGTTGTATCTATATTCATTATATAAATATTTTCTTTTAAAAAATTCTTATATTAAAGGAAGTTTAATTGTCTTCATTTTCTTTTTTTTTTAATTGTTTCTGACTTTATTTTTTTTTATTTTTTAAAAAAAATATTATAATAAGTATTACAAAGGGTATTACATATGTGTCCTTCCCCCCACCCTGTCTTCATTTTCTTAATATAAAATACTACAACATCCTTTTTTCTTTCTCTTTGGATATATATTTCTCTAGGTTGATGACTAAAAGTGGAATAACTGGATCCAAGATATGTGCAATTTTAACTCTTCTTTGTATTGTCAGATTGCTCTCTAAAGTATAACTCTTCCATCAGAAATCATGCAGTTATCATTTTCTCAAATACAAATCAGTACTTGATATTATCAGACATTTAATTTTTTTCATACTTCTATTATGATTTATTTTTTATCCCTGAAGTTATTTTAAAAATTTTCAATGTACAGAGAACCTAAGATGATTGTTCTATTTTTTTATTTTGTTGTATATTATGATCAGATAAAATACCTTATGTGGTTGGTGTGTATAAGATTAAATTTATTTATCTTCTATAATTTTTTGGTGTCTTTGAAGACTAGCTTGGTGAATATTTGTATTCACTTATTGTAAGCCATATAAGCCATATATATATATATATATATATATATATAGTATACATTATATATTTATATATCTGATTATGTTTGTTAATAGTGTCATTCAATTCTTATAAATCCTTACTAAGTTTGTATTTTTCATCTTTCAGTTAGTGGAAGTAATGTTTTAAGATCCTCCTCTATTAATGTGGATTTGTATGTTTTTCTCTGAATGATTTTCTTGGTTTTTGCTTTATTTCTGAGACAATCATTAGTTTCATACCAGTTTAGTATTTTATATATCTCTAATGAAAATATTCTAACTTTGTGTAAGGACTCACTTGAATAACTAACACTATTTACTTAGAAGTATGTTTTATATATTAATATAGCTACCTACTTTGTTTATTGTTGATAAAGTACTGGTATATCTAATTTTTAGTCAATTGTATTGAAGTACAATTTATAAGAAATAAAAAGCACTCACTTTAAGAGCGTGATTTGATGAATTGTGACAAATGAACACACTTGCACAATCATCACTACAATCAAGTTTAGGACATTCTATCACCTCCCTAATTTCCTCAAGCCCTTTTTCAATCAATCCATCCCAATTCCTAGGCAACTATGGGCTTGCTTTCTGTCATTCTGGATTAGATTTGCTTTCCCTATTATTTTATGTAAATGGAATCACACAGTTGGTACTCATTGTGTCTTGCTTCTCTCACTCGGCACAATGATTTTCATTAGTTCAAATTGTCATCATATTCCACTGCCTAGCTATATCACAATTTGTTTACTCACCTGTTGGTGGACAGTTAGTTTGTGTAGACTGCCATAACAAAATACCACAGATTGGGGAGGCTTAAACAATAGAGATTTATTTTCTCACAGTTCTGGAGGCTGGAAGTTTAAGATTAAAGTGCCACAGGTTTGGTTTCTTCCGAGACCTCTCAACTAGGTCTGCAGATGGATGCCTTACCCCTGTGTCCTCACACATTCCTCTGTGTGTGTGCATCACTGCTGTCTCTCTCTCTTCTCATAAGGACACCAGTTATATTGGACTAGAGGCCTGGTGCACAAAAATTTGTGCACTTGGGGGTTTCCCTCAGCCTGGCCTGTGCTCTCTCGAAGTCTGAGACCCCTCGGGGGATGTCCACCTGCTGGCTTAGGCCAGCTCCCTGGGGGATCGGGCCCAAGCTGGCAGCCAGACATCCCTCTGGCAGCCCAGGAGCCCTCAGGGGATGTCCACTTGCCAGCAGGGAGCAGGCCTAAGCTGCAGTCGGACATCCTTAGCGCTGCTGAGGAGGCGGGAGAGGCTCCCACCACCACCACTGTGCTGGCAGCCATCAGCCTGGCTTGTGGCTGAGCAGATCTCCCCCTGTGGGAGCGCAATGACCACCAGGGGGCAGCTCCTGCATTGAGCATCTGCCCCCCTCGTGGTCAGTGTGTGTCATAGTGACCAGTCATTCCCAGTCGTTCTACTGTTAGGGTAAATTTGCATATTACCCTTTTATTATATAGGATAGAGGCCTGGTGCATGGGTGGGGGCCGGCTGGTTTGCCCTGAAGGGTGTCCCGGATCAGGGTGAGGGTCCGCTGGGGTGCCTGGCCAGCCTGGGTGAGGCGCTGAGGGCCGTTTCAGACTGG